GTTAAACTCCTCTAATATCTGCTGTGATTTAAAGAAGAAATGCATATATCGTTCCCGGGGTAAAGACGTTTTGTCTACCCATACCGCGTTCAGAAAAGACAACAAAGATCGTACAGGTGAATCAAACATCAGCAGGAGAGGACTCTTTAAAGTAGAGACACTACATACTGATACACACCTGGACATCAGCAGGAGAGCACTCTTTAAAGTAGAGACACTACATACTGATATACACCTGAACATCAGCAGGAGAGGACTCTTTAAAGTAGAGACACTACATACTGATATACACCTGAACATCAGCAGGAGAGGACTCTTTAAAGTAGAGACACTACATACTGATATACACCTGAACATCAGCAGGAGAGGACTCTTTAAAGTAGAGACACTACATACTGATATACACCTGAACATCAGCAGGAGAGGACTCTTTAAAGTAGAGACACTACATACTGATATACACCTGAACATCAGCAGGAGAGGACTCTTTAAAGTAGAGACACTACATACTGATATACACCTGAACATCAGCAGGAGAGGACTCTTTAAAGTAGAGACACTACATACTGATATACACCTGAACATCAGCAGGAGAGGACTCTTTAAAGTAGAGACACTACACACTGATATACACCTGAACATCAGCAGGAGAGGACTCTTTAAAGCAGAGATTATTAGTAGGAGTTTCTGGGAGCTGAAGAGGAGATTAGCTGCTCTGAGTTTCATTAACTATCGGCCTCTTGGCTCTTTTGTGTCTGAGCCCATTGAACTCTCAGAGGTTCTACTTCTTCCCAAAGTGAAAGAGGAGGGGAGGGGCGTGACTAATGAAAGATCCCTGTTGCATGCTGGGATGGGGGGGATGGGGGGGGGGGAGAATCTGCCTCCCTGTCTAAGTGGTAAAAGGCATGACCCAGTGATTTTAAACCAGTGTGTCGTGGGAAATTGTCCAAATTCACTATTACTGTCCCAGAAAATAGGATTTAGGGTTAGGGTCTGCAATGGTGCCAAATCTACCAAATCTACCTAGTAACTGAACTCGTGGCCAAATTGAGAGACTTGCCATTAAATATAATTACATTACATTACATTGTACATTTTACGCTGCTATGGACAGTCTTGCACTAATGTACATTTCTATATGTCATATTGAAGTGACTGTTTTCGGGATTGTGGGAAACGGTATTTTGATCTCTCTGCACACACAAACTGAAAGGTTGACAATAAACTGGACTTTGACTGTTTTATGCTACAATAGGTTATTTTGTAAGTATGTTGGTTGTTGGTGTGGATGTCTGTCTCCAAACAGGTTGAAACCCACTGTGGCTTCATGCAGGGAAACCCACAAACCCCTCCTTTTTCTCTAATACCACCCCACCCCCCGTCTTCATCCATTCACAGCAGGTCCTTTCAGCAGTTCATTCAGAGGAGCAATAAAGAGTCTGCTCTGAAATGTGCAATGTCAGAAAGAGGGAGAGTTTGGGGAGGAGGGGGCAGATTCAATCCCAACTCTAACGGACCTCCCATTCTGCAGACAGATGATCATCCTGAAGCACAAAGAGAGGGGGGGGGGGGGGGGGGAGACACTGGAGCATTTAGCATGAGAAGGTTTCATATCAAATCGCTTGGTGGGAAATGAATGCATCACTTCAGAAATATGTGCGAATCTTATAGAAATAACAGCGCTTTGTAGAGACTGGATAAAGAGGTTTTTAAATACAATGCAGTCTAAAAACAACTGTGTGTGGACACTAAGGGTACATGTGTGTCTTTTATCACATATATCAGTAGTGTCTCTACTTTAAAGAGTCCTCTCCTGCTGATGTTCAGGTGTATATCAGTATGTAGTGTCTCTACTTTAAAGAGTCCTCTCCTGCTGATGTTCAGGTGTATATCAGTATGTAGTGTCTCTACTTTAAAGAGTCCTCTCCTGCTGATGTTCAGGTGTATATCAGTATGTAGTGTCTCTACTTTAAAGAGTCCTCTCCTGCTGATGTTCAGGTGTATATCAGTATGTAGTGTCTCTACTTTAAAGAGTCCTCTCCTGCTGATGTTCAGGTGTATATCAGTATGTAGTGTCTCTACTTTAAAGAGTCCTCTCCTGCTGATGTTCAGGTGTATATCAGTATGTAGTGTCTCTACTTTAAAGAGTCCTCTCCTGCTGATGTGCAGGTGTATATCAGTATGTAGTGTCTCTACTTTAAAGAGTCCTCTCCTGCTGATGTTCAGGTGTATATCAGTATGTAGTGTCTCTACTTTAAAGAGTCCTCTCCTGCTGATGTTCAGGTGTATATCAGTATGTAGTGTCTCTACTTTAAAGAGTCCTCTCCTGCTGAAGTTCAGGTGTATATCAGTATGTAGTGTCTCTACTTTAAAGAGTCCTCTCCTGCTGAAGTTCAGGTGTATATCAGTATGTAGTGTCTCATACTGCCTGTGCTGCAGCACCTCTTTTCACCCTCTGTCTGAAACCAGAGCCCAGTCTGCTCTGATTGGTTAGCTGGACGGCTCTGTTGTGATTGGTCAACCGGATAGAGATGTCCCGCCCCCTTAGCCAATCGCGTACAATGTGCTGGAGCGCGAGTATAGTGATGTCACTATGTACCAGAAGTAAACAAAGGAGGGTTATAAACGGTGTCCTCATCTCTCCATACAGCGACTTTATCTCTATTCTATTCTGTGCTAATTGAAAATGCAATTAAATAAACGCCATGAGCTCCAGAGAAACCTGTGGAGCTGCAACGAGGGAACACAAGAAGGACTGTGAACCAAGGAAGGGTTAGTCGGCTAACGAGGAATCCAGGTGTTTAAACCAACTAATCCAAAGCTTTAAAAACACACACACACACACACACACACACACACACACACACACACACACACACACACACACACACACACAACACACACACACACACACACACACACACACACACACACACACACACACACACACACACACACACACACACACACACACACACACACACCTCTCAGGAAGTCGTGTAATTTCATCCAGATGTGCAAACACGCTACAACATCCCAGAACATTTCCATCAGGAGAAACACGCTGCAGCTTCAGAAACGATGCAGATATAAAAACACAAATGTTCCACATGCAGAAACATCTTCAGCAACTTGACAACACGTGCAGCATTTAGAGAACATTCAGCAACTTGAGGAAACATGCGCAGCGTTTACTAAAAGCTGCAGAAACCAAACGCTGCAAGAAGCTCAAAACACAACGGCATCGTTTCTGCAGCTTTTAGTAAACGCTGCGCATGTTTCCTCAAGCTGCTGAATGTTCTCTAAAGGCTGCACGTGTTGTCAAGTTGCTGAAGATGTTTCTTCATGTGTACAGGAAGAGGAACAGGAACAGGAACATGTGTACAGTTTTTATATCTGCATCCTTCCGGAAGCTCAAAGTGTTTCTCCTAATTGAAGATGTTCTGGGTCGTTAGCACCTGTTGGCCACCGTACATTTCACTAAAAACATGCCACCATTACCACATCTCTGCATCATCAGTGTGTGACTTCAACCTGCACTCTATGAATACACCCTCCCTACAGCAGCACAGCTCAGGTCAGTCTACGACGAGGGAAGCTCCTCGCCCAGATCTCTAAAAATACTGTCCTACTTACTGAAAGAGTCCTGGCCACTCAGAGAGGAAACTGTTGTGTTTCCAGGAGTTTCTCTCAAAGTGCAGCCTCTAAAATCAGCCTACACTCAGACGGTTCTCCCACAGAGAAACACACACACTGTGAGCAGCAGATTGATTGAATACATAAATACGACGGAAAGTAAAGTGTGTGTGAGCGGTCACACGCGGCTGATAGCGTCTCCTCCAAACAGAGCCGTACATTCCAGTAACTGTGGTCCACACACACACACACACACACACACACACACACACACACACACACACACACACACACACACACACACACACACACACACACACACACACACACACACACACACACACACACACACACACACACACACACACACACACACACACACACACACGTTTCCCGGAGCTTTTATTGCTGGCAGTGGATTTTCATCACGTATCAGATAGTGGTTAGAGAAATGCTCTGCTGCTGACACTGCCTGTAAATTGTGTGTGTGTGTGTAGAGGCTTTACAGTGGAAATAGTGTTCCTCCAGTATTGACTGTCTTATAGCAACAACACATATGGATTCTCATATTGCTTTGACACACAGAGACACACTTCATCTCTTTTTACAGAAGATAAAGCATACATGTAACTTCTCTTCTGCAGGACTGCTGCACAGGCACCAGGCACCATGCACCATGTACCATGCACCATGCACCATGCACCAGGCACCATGCACCGCTCACACAACACACACAAAGACTCCCACACCTGCACTGATTGCTTTACTGTAGAAGGTAACAGAGCCTGGGGGGACTGCATGGGCAAAGATGTCAAAAAGAAAAGACAATTAGCTCAAGCAAGTAGTGAAAACATGATGGCCAGAAGAAAGGAAGTTAATATGTCTTTCTGTTTTGTTCCTAAAAATGAGACACTGAAAGAGGAACATCCTTCTTTTCTAGACATTTAAATATGATCAACATTCAGCTACACAGCAGTATGAAACCCTCACGCACGCCTCACGCACGCTCCTCTTGTGTCAGAGGTTTTCCTGCAAACACACTGGACTCCTAACCCTCCAGATTCTAGAGGAACATCTCAGAAACACACACCTGAACCTGTCTCCTGCACCACTCTGATCTCACACCTGCACATCTCATACAACACCAACACCTGCACTGAATGCCTCACTGGTAATTAGCTCAAACATGGGGGGGGGGGGGGATGATACTAAGAATAAAACAAAGTCTCAGAAAAAAGGAAGCTAGTTCTTGAAAACAGCTCTTTTTCTTTGCACATGAAAACGGGACCTCATTTGATAACAAGAAAAAGAGGTGTTCGTGCAGTGAGTCTCTCCTCTCACATGTTGTTTGTGTCGCTTCTTACCTTTGTTGTTGGCTCCAGTCTCGGCTCCGGTTCCCACCACAAACTGCACCAGTAAAACCAGTCCGACCAGCAGCAGCTGCAGCGTCCTCACAGCCGACATGTCCTCCTGCTTCCCGGTGTTTCTCTGCACAGATCCCCGTACAATCCTCCGGTCTCTCTCTCTCTCTCTCTCTCTCGCTCTCTCTATCTCTCTCTCTCTCTCGGAACAGAACCGTGTTTTTGTCCCACCGTGCGCCACGCTGCGCTCCTGGAGAGAGTCAAAACGTCTCCAGCTCCAAAAACAAACCAAAAAAAACCGAAGAAGAAAAAGTTAGAAGCTTTAAATCCTCCAGCTACGATCCGCTGCTACATCACACAGGCAGGAGGTGCGGAGTGTGTGTGAGTGTGTGTGTGTGTGTGTGTGTGTGTGTGTGTGTGTGTTCCGTCACCAGCTCCTCGCAGCCAATGGCTTCTCCTTCTGTTTGATGATCAGTGTGTTTCTTCTTCTTCCTCAGGGATATCATCTGTAATGATGAGAAATTGCGAATTGTACATTATTTTATGAAATGAATGTTGTATTTTTCTTTAGATGTGTTACTTGTATGCATGTGAATATGCTGAAGTAATGCAAAATGCATCTTATTCCGCAGACAGTAGAGGTTTATCCTGCAGGTATTATATATATTTCATTATATTTTCTGCACTATTTGGTTGATGTGGAGCTGCTTCAGTTACAATGCAATGTTAAGCAGTTTCTAGTCAGATTGTGTGTCTTATTTTGGGGCTTTCTCTTACTGTCTTTTCACCTTCTCTGACAGGTGATTGAACTGTGAGGGCGCCCTCTTCAGGTGGAAGTTAATAACCCTAACCGTAAACTATAAAACATTCACATTTAACACTGTTTATTTTTTACCCTTTCTTGAAATTCAACATGTAGAAAAGTAGGTTATTACCATTTCCTTTAGCCAAACACAGACCACAGTACAGCCATGCCGTTACACCAACTCAGGACATATCTCATGTTTTACATTTGGTATTTCCATCGCTAAAAAGTAATATATAGGCAGATAAATGTATGGTATCTCATCCCGCTGTATGTCGACGTGTCTGGGGTCCTTTCCTATCAATATCCTGAGAGACAAATCAGGAAAGATGTGTAAGGTGAAAATCAATGACATTAGTATCAGTAGTTTCCTGCAGCAGAAAGACCCTGCGATGCATTCAAAGTCACGTAAGTTAGTCATAAGATACGGAACATCCTGAATAGAGACTAAAGCATTCTAGGTTGATGATGGGATGATATTAAAACGTCCAATTAAACTTCTGTTTCTCTTCATCCGTTGTTTGCTTCCTCAGCAGATTGAAAATAGAGAAAGCTCTCACGTGTGAGGGAGCATTTATTTATTCCCCCCCTCATTGCTTAGTTTGTGCTCATTGTACTCAGGAGGGATAACGTGCACCACATGCTCGATCCAATTAAGACTCACTGCTGCACCACAAGACATGGAAACTCACCAAAGCACACGGAGAGGAAGCTCCTGCTGCACATTCCTACATGTTTTGCACTCAATGGATTCAATAGATAATAAAAATCATCCAAATCCAAACACAGGAGCCCAAATGAAAACAGATCAATAGATAGAAATCACTTAGTAATGACCATTTCTCGTGATTATCTTCACTGTCCACTCAAATGAATGCAGCTCTTCATCTGTTTCTGGACAAAATAAATATCACTCAATGTTTGAGTCAATATCACCATCCGGTGCATTTGAGACTTCCCCATTTCCAAAAACAAAATCTGAGATTTTCCATTAAACTTCATATTCATTGTATTAAGTACGTTCTGCTGTTAGAAGTGGATGTTGGTCAAGCCCCCACACTTTTTATAAATGACCTGCAAGCATGCAAACAGCTACATGTATCCTCCCTGTCCTGGACAACATTCAGAGATTTAATACATTGTAATTACATAGTGATTATAAAATGTACATTTTCAGAAAGCTAGTCCCTTTCTCAACAATATATTTCAGTTCATGGAAAAAGTATTTGGATAATAATGAAATGATGGCAAACTATTTGCACCTCCACCCTGTCAGGAAGGCTTGCTGACAGGGTGGACACGTTGGGCTAATATTAGCATTCAATGACTGATACTGTTTGGAAGGTAATTAGCTAACGTTCACTATCTGAATAGCTCACAAGAGATTGCAAAAAGTAATAATGATTAAAATAATAAATTGTTTGTGAAAAGAATCCATCTTTCCACCTTAGGACTTAAAAATTAAGCAGAGCACATAATTAAGAGACTTAACTTAGAAATCATGTCAAACAAATATAGATAATGTTAAAACTTAGCAAGAATCCTCACGTTTCTTTCCCTCAGATCACGTTGATGCAGTGATGGTTGTTTGTGTTCATTTTGAACAGCTTAAAGCTTTAACAATGCTTCCTGTTTACGCTCCACACCCCCTCAACATATCTTAACAGTTTGATTAATACAATTGTGTTTTTTTGGCCCTATAGGGATCAGCATATCCCACTGACATCGACTTATGTAGAACACCGTTAACATGAACTGTAAAAATGCACATTTCAGGCTCTTACTGTCTCAGAGTTTGTAACTTAGAAACTGCCTGCTTCTTCTTTCACTTCCCTACAAAATAATATCCCCCATTTCCAACATCATAAGACCGAAAGAATATCTGCTGAGAGCGCCATGATAGTGTCACATCCATATTCTCCCATAACTCAACACACGCAGTCAAAAGGGACGTATATCAAACATTCATATAGCAAACAGACACAATCCCACCGGATATAAAACACACAGCTCAGTGATGGGTTTCCCTCGTAAAAAGGAGACGGACTTTAAATCAAGTGTCAAGTGTTAGAATGAAAAGGGGTTTAGTCCGGAGGCTAGGAGAGCATCTTCCATTCACTCCAATGCATTTACGCTCTTTATTTCCCCCTCTCTGCAACGCTTTCTAAGCACTTCAATCATCCCAGACTGCTGCTCTAATCACCTTGTTCCCCAACCAGGGGGAGAGACGCTACTCTTTCACACATCTTTCTCTAAACTCTCCTTACACCTCATTCTACAAACCCTTCCTAGAGCTGCAGCTGTAACAAGCACCAACATTTACAGAGTCATCCCTCTGGAGTCATTTATATATAAAAAGCTGTTAGCCAAGATGACCTTCAGTATTCTAACCACTGCATCCATTTCTGTGATCTTGGTATGGAATAACCTGTTTGTGATTTCAGGGAAGTCACATGTTCTGTTTAGGATCTTCTCCAGAGCCTTTGTGTGTCATTTTAAACTCAACATGTTCAAATGGAAAGCATTTGGGACTCTAAACCACGCTAATACTCTTCTATGTTAGCAGGACACTGAACAGCATGATGTCTCCACTACTTCCTCTACAACTGCACTCCTACATCCCATAATACCTCTTCCACCATGCATGTTAGACTACCCAGTTTCCCATTGTCATATTATTTAGATTTTATGGCTCAGACGTGGTAAAAAGAAGCTTCTGAGTAAATCCTGACGTCTGAATTTGGTTTCTTCGTGCTCAGAAATCAATCAATTTATCTTCTGCTCTTATGGAAATTGGTTATACACAATGCATAAAACACCCATTACGATTTCTTCTATTTAATGTACAAAACAGGATGCATATGAGACAAGAAATCCAGCTCAATGAGGACTACTTTCCCAGAACTGCAGCGTTTTTCTAAAGACCGGTCGAGCCCCTGGGCAGATCGCCATTCACTGTCACTGAATACAAAGAGAAGAAACAGACACTCAGCCGGAGAGCAGGAAGACCACTTCTATCATTAGAGGGAAGGGGAACTTCACCTTGACCTGGCTGCATGTCACAGCTGCAGGAGGGTAAACTGTGGAAGTGCTGTGAAGACTCAGGATGGGAGAGCGTGTAAACAAAGAAATCAGCAGAGATGTTAAAGTACACACATCCTTTACTCAAGTAGAAGTACAGAGGCTTTGAAATGTACTTCAGTAAAAAGTACCCATAACTAGCAGCTGTTTTAAAGAGTACCTGACCTCCCTTTATATTAATAGAACAATAATGTCATTGTTAGCTAATGAATGTTTCCATGCTGAACAACGGCAACATGACAACGTTTTCATTGGTCCCTCTTCTTTAGAGAAGACCAGGAAATGATGGATACACGGATCGTGTTCAAATCAATAGGCACGCAATGACTCTAAATAATAATGATCACGCCACCAAACACACATTCAAACTAAAGGAACCAGCCTGTTTGGGAAATGTGAGAAGTAGAAAGTACAGGTATTTGTGTTCAACATGTAAGAAGTAGAAAGTACAGGTATTTGGGTTCAACATGTGAGAAGTAGAAAGTACAGGTATTTGGGTTCAACATGTAAGAAGTAGAAAGTACAGGTATTTGGGTTCAACATGTAAGAAGTAGAAAGTACAGGTATTTGTGTTCAACATGTGAGAAGTAGAAAGTACAGGTATTTGGGTTCAACATGTAAGAAGTAGAAAGTACAGGTATTTGAGTTCAACATGTAAGAAGTAGAAAGTACAGGTATTTGTGTTCAACATGTGAGAAGTAGAAAGTACAGGTATTTGGGTTCAACATGTAAGAAGTAGAAAGTACAGGTATTTGGGTTCAACATGTAAGAAGTAGAAAGTACAGGTATTTGTGTTCAAAATGTAAGAAGTAGAAAGTACAGGTATTTGTGTTCAACATGTGAGAAGTAGAAAGTACAGGTATTTGTGTTCAACATGTGAGAAGTAGAAAGTACAGGTATTTGTGTTCAACATGTGAGAAGTAGAAAGTACAGGTATTTGGGTTCAACATGTAAGAAGTAGAAAGTACAGGTATTTGTGTTCAACATGTAAGAAGTAGAAAGTACAGGTATTTGTGTTCAACATGTAAGAAGTAGAAAGTACAGGTATTTGTGTTCAACATGTAAGAAGTAGAAAGTACAGGTATTTGGGTTCAACATGTAAGAAGTAGAAAGTACAGGTATTTGTGTTCAACATGTAAGAAGTAGAAAGTACAGGTATTTGGGTTCAACATGTAAGAAGTAGAAAGTACAGGTATTTGTGTTCAAAATGTAAGAAGTAGAAAGTACAGGTATTTGGGTTCAACATGTAAGAAGTAGAAAGTACAGGTATTTGGGTTCAACATGTAAGAAGTAGAAAGTACAGGTATTTGTGTTCAACATGTAAGAAGTAGAAAGTACAGGTATTTGGGTTCAACATGTAAGAAGTAGAAAGTACAGGTATTTGGGTTCAAAATGTAAGAAGTAGAAAGTACAGGTATTTGGGTTCAACATGTAAGAAGTAGAAAGTACAGGTATTTGTGTTCAACATGTAAGAAGTAGAAAGTACAGGTATTTGAGTTCAACATGTAAGAAGTAGAA